TTMYWTWWTTTTCAAAGATCGTAAAAATCAAAACAATGGCATCGGAAGGAAAAAACAGTCAGTGTTATAGCGATTCAGATGTTGTGATTGTTGCAGCAGTCAGAACACCTGTAGGATCACATAATGGCGATCTTAGCTCGCTCAAAGCTCATGAACTTGGAACTGTTGTTATAAAAGAAGTTTTGGCAAGGTCTGGAGTGCCACCGTCTGACGTGGCTGAAGTGATCCTTGGGCAAGTTTGTACTGCTGGTGAGGCGATTGAAGCTTACTGGTTGAAAAAATAATTGATTGATTAACATCTAAAAATATGAAATTGAAATGAAAGGTGGAAGGCAAAAAAAAAACCCAAAAGAAAGAAAGAAAATGAAAGAAAGAAAGAGAAGAAAAAGGTGAGGAAGAAAGGAAAGATGGATGGTAGGAAGTGAGATTGAATCAGATATTGAGAAAGGAAAATGAGCAAKAACCAAAACAAAGAAAAGAATGGAAAAGCAAGTGCGATATATTAAATAATGCATTTTATATCTGAAGGTCAAGGTCAGAATCCTGCCAGACAAGCAGCAATGCATGCAGGGATACCAGCCCCTGTACCTGCATATGGTGTCAATATGCTGTGCGGGTCAGGCTTGAAGGCTGTTGCCCTTGGTTACCAAGCTATATCTACAGGAGATTCATCAGTTGTTATAGCTGGCGGACAAGAAAGCATGAGTCAGGTATGCTAACGTCACAGGACTTTTATGGTAGCAAAAAAGCTCTTCTTTCTCGTATATCTTCATTTTGTGTCTTTTTGGGCCAGTTTCCCACAAAGGGAAGTGTTGCTTTGATGCCAACATTATATCGCATTCAAACTCTTTCTGTTGGATTCAAGATGGTGAAGTTATTGATAAAAAGGTCTTTGATCTTTCTTTGATTCATAAGGCTCCACACTGCTGCCATATGAGAACACCTGTAAAGTTTGGTGATGTTACTATGKTTGATACAATGATGAAAGATGGATTGATGGATGCATTCAATAACTATCACATGGGAATCACAGGTAGGGCTGTAGTCATTTCTTTCTTCATTTCTTTCCTCTCTCTCTCCCTTTCTTGCCTGTAATGCTATCTATTTCAATAGCTGAAAATGTTGCAAAACAATGGGGAATTTCCAGACAACAGCAAGATGAGTTTGCTCTTTCATCACAAAAAAAGACAGAAACAGCACAAAAGGCTGGATATTTCAAGGATGAAATTGTCAAAGTTGAAGTCAAATCAAGACGAGGTTTGTGTACAGCTTTTTTTTTGTACAGAGGGTGATAGAGTTAAAGTATAGATTTATCTGAATCAAATGGGTCCATTTGCAAGATGGAAGTGTATGATTTATCKTTTGGCAACCAGCTTAGTATAATATGTTTAAACTAATGTTATTCCCATTTCATGGATTTACTGGTATATTTGTTTTGTCAGCCACCACAGAAGTAACAACTGATCAATTCCCAAGACATGGTACAACGATAGAAGCATTATCAAAGCTTAAGCCCTGCTTCCTACAGGATGGCACAGGCTCAGTCACAGCTGGAAATGCTTCTGGTATCAATGACGGTGCTGCTGCTGTTGTTCTRATGTCATTTGCTGAAGCTCAGAGWAGGGGATTGTGTCCCTTAGCACGYATTGTTYCATGGGCCCAAGCTGGGGTAGACCCCTCAGTAATGGGCACTGGACCCATTCCTGCTACAAYAAAWGCGGTAATGACCATGTTTACATTAGTCTCRTTCGCAGSCTCCTCTTTTGRCGGGCTTCCTGTCCCTCCCAAAAGAAAGGATGGACAGAAAGCCCYAKAAAGGGGGAGGCTTGAAAGAGACTATGTTTACATGTACTTTAATTGTATAAATTATTTCTAACATTGTATA